TCCAGTGAAGATGTTTCCTTCCTGTGAAATTATGTCTACTTGGAAGAGAGAACTGGGACTTTGAAAGGGATCTGGTACGAAGAACCTTATAACGGCCTTACTAATCCTTTTGCTTATTTTATTTATTTATTCATTTGGCATTTTTGTATGCCGTCCCAGTCTCATAAGCCACGGGAAGGCTTCCAACATTATAAATAAATACATATATATGAATACATACATATATAAAATCCGGAAACATCCTGGCACAAAATTATAACACTAATAAATAAAATCAATGATTATTAAAATATCATTTAAATAAAAAGGTCTTGGCCTGGCTCTGAAAAACACCATTTATCCACCATTTTGGTTACAGTGTGACGATTATTGGCTGCCAGTGGTGCAAACACGCCAAGTGCCGTACGGGGTAGGCCTCCAGACAAATTTTGCTGGACCCGTTCAGGATAGGATTGAACCGGAAGCTCAAAGGAGTGAACGTCTGAATTTCCCCACCGTCCCCGACCCCTATCCCCTTGTGGACCAATTGTCAGATGGCTCCCCAAATTCCGAATGGCCAACGTGCTGCCCCCTGCTGGCAGCAAGAGGTTTGCCCCCTACACTCCTGGGACTGTTGGCGTTTCAGCGCTGCGCACTTTGCCATTGGATCTGCTCGTCCCTGGAGGGAGCCCCCGAGAAACGGGGGGCTGCGGTGGGCGTCTGGTCCTCGCGCCAGAAAAAGTGCACCCTTCCCTGGTTGAAACCGACATATCTAAGGTGGCTTCCGAGCAGCTCCACTCGTGCGGGACCAGGCTTGACGTTTCGCGTGTGCGAGGCGGGCGAGGCCGGGCGCACCTGTCCCCCCAGGCCGTCCCCAGCAGAACCCCCTTCTGGAGACCCTCACGGCACCCCATCCGGGGCAGGTGCGGCGCGCATGTCTGAAGGGCTCACCGGGTCGAAGTTCTCCACCTCTCCTTTTCTCGGAGGCGGCCCTTCCGCGCCGGCTGCCTCCCCACCGTCCTCCCTCGTTTCCGGGCGAATGTGCCTCGGGGAGCTCCCCGTCCGATCGTGTTCTTCAAGGCTTCGGTGGCTGCCTTGCTCTGGAGGGTTGAGCTGTGAGACAGCAGCTTAATTACTTCCTCCTCCGCTGGGGCGTCTTGAGAGCGGGGACGGAGGATCAGAGAGAGGCTGCTTCCGCATCCCGCTCCGGCTTCCCCATCCCGCGGTGCACGGGGATTGTACCTCGGGCACCAGTGACTGAGGTCCCTGCAGCTGATTCACTTTCCAGTTTGGAAAGGAGTGCTGGCCCGTGGAGCCAGTCGGGGGCCCGGGGACAGCCCCACGGATGCTTCCTTCAGTCTTGGGACGGGGAGCCCTGGCCCGTGGGCCTAATCCAGCCAGCAAGGGCCTTGGGCCCGGCCTGCAGAGCTCTCTCGGGTTCCCTCGGGGCAGAGCTGGCTCTCTAAGCCCTGTCCCCGCAGAAATCCCTGGTGTTGACTCCTACCCACGGGCAGCTGGGAGGAGGCGGGCAGCGTGGGGTCGCCTGGACGGCACTGGGGGTCCTCCGTGGGGCCTGCTCTCCTTGCTCAGAGGGGCAAGAGATTCAGTGCTTCTTTGGCACGTGGGAAGGAAGCACGGGCATGGCGGGGGGGCGGAAATGGAGTCTGTGGGCATAGCCACGTCCCTCGGGATCCTCTGGCCCGTGGCGGGTGGCACCGTTGCTGCGAGGGCACGTCGGTCCTCCCCAGATTTAGCTCTGCAGTTCTGCTTCAGCCTTCAAGCTGAGTGCCCAGGAGCTGCCCTCCGGCCGGGCAAGGGGGGCCAGGGCCTGGCCGCCGATTCAGCCACGGCCAAGGTGATCAAAGCTGCAGGCGGACAGCTTGACCCGTGGGGAGCAGGGCCGCTGCAGCATCGTCCTGACCCTCAGGCGCTGCCCAAGTTGTACTCGCACTTTCTGAGTGGAGGGGAAAGGATTCTACACGTGCTCAGAGGCACTCTTCTCTGCTGGACACGAGTAGATGTCCCAGGCGGTCAGGAAAACGTTGGAGACTCAGCCTCCTGGAACGCTGGATCGAGCCCAGCAGGACATGGGCCTAATCCCAGAGGTGCGGTCCAAGTGCCAGATGGAGGCCTGTGAGCAGCCGAGCAGGTCCTGCCCTGGGGGGGAAAGCAGGCCATCCCGAATCGTTCCAGTGAAGCCTCATATCCTGCGGTGTGGCCTGAACTCAAGAAGCATATTAAGGGGGGGGGGGGTGAATGAGGTGGGGGGGGGCAGAGAATATGGTTCTATGCCAGTAGCCTCCCCCAGGCTGGGGCTGCCATCGTCCTTTCTTTCTTTGGGGTGCGACTTGGAAGCAGTTGCCGTTTCAGGACCACGGACGGATCCACACTGACTGGAACTCGCTCGGGAAGGGCTGTTGACTCAGTGGCGTGCAGAGGCCTCCCAAAGGCTGGGCTGGCTGTTCGCCCTCCGAGTTTCCCTCTGGACTGCTGCCCGCTCCTTATGGCTCTGTTCTGATTTTGGGGCGGCCATGGTGTGAGGATGATAGAGACTGCCAGGGCAGGTGCTGTCTGGGGCGTCCAGTAAACCCACATTCTCTGTCTGGGAGAAACCTGGAGTAGCGTGAGGGTGACTGGAAAGACCCTGCTTGTCAGGGGCCTCCTTTGAGCCAGGGGAGGTTGTGGCGGGGTGGGGGGGGTTAAGGCCAGAGAGCCCTACAACACTCCGAGATGGGCACTCTCTGCTCCTTTGAACAAGAACAAGGACGGGAGAAAGTTGCCGTGCTTTTATATGGTCTTTTATACTGCCATAAAGGAAATGAGTCAGTGAGCTCAGGTCTGATGCTGCAGAGGCCGGGGGCCTGGGTCTTGGGGTCAGCCCCTCTGCCTGCCTGCCTGCCTGCCTTTCTTTCTCTCCGAGTCTCAGGCACACACAAACTGCATCACAGTCTGGCCTGGAGAAAGCCTGCCTTTGGGGCCGGGGGGTGGGCATTTTGCAAGGCACCCCCAGTTCGCCTCTCTGTGCAGCAACTGGGCTTGGGAAACGCTTCTCTCTGGTGAGGATTTTTCGGAAACTGACTGCTTGGGGGTCTGCGTGCCGGTTGCGGGGGGGGGGGGGGCGGCATGTTGCGCCCTGTCTGCCCTCGCCATCAAGGTGCAGCGGTTCCCCAGAAGCAGGCAGTTGTCGTCCCAAAGGCGAGAGCAGTGGAGATGGTGGTGGGGTGGAAGAATGGGGGAGATGGAAGGGGGCAGCTTCCTTGTCCCCCCGTCCTTGGAAGGATGTGCCGTCTCTCCAGCCAGGCACCCGGCGTGACGTAGATGGAAGCTCGACCCTGTGAAACAAAATTCCAAAAACAATTGAGCAGAAAATCGAAGCTTCTGCAAGTGCTTTCCCGGCTTGCCCAGAAGGGGATGGGAGTTGTAGTCCGGCACACCTGGGGGGTGCCAGGTTTGGGGGGATGGCCATGCAACTCCATAAGACCTCCAAACCCCCCAAATATCAACGGTGCAGAGAAGGGGCGGACATGCAGGGCATGCCCCCGGCCCACGTAGTTTGAGGGCGGTGCTCCGAGGAGACGAGCGCAGCAGCGAGTTTGGGGGCTGCTTGCTGCCTCACCAGCCGTCTCGTCCCCCCACCACCGGGGGCTGCAGGCAGTGCTCTTTCATGACGCTTCTGCGGTGTAGGCCGCCTGAGCCGAACTATACAAACAAAAGCAGGTCCTGGGTCTCTGTGCTGCTCAACATGGTAGCCAGTTCCCTGGGGCTTTCCCATGGGGCAGCCCCTCTGCACGGGCTCAGAAGTACTCATGGCTCTCCAAGCTGCAAGCCCTGCCTCCTCCGATCCAAACATGCCCTGGGGCTAAACCAGATCCAGCGTCACCCCACTTACGAGGGAGATGGAGGGCTGGGCAGGACGAGGCCCAACCTTGCCTGCCACTTCCACTCCTGTAGAAGTTTTTCAATTTAAGACGCCTTTAATTTTTTTAAATAATGCCCAGGCATTTAAATGCCCCGAGGTGGTTTTACTGGGATTTTCCAATTCTGCTTCACCCCTCCTGGTGCTGCAGACCAAGTCGCGATTGTGTTGTGCTTCTGGTATGTTGTACCAGCTTTCCCCATCCGGGGATGCTGGGCACTGTAGTCTAACCCACCTGGAAGGTGCCGTGTGGGAAGGCCGTGCCCTTTGTGGAGGATCGAGACATGCCAAAGCAGGAACATACCCGGCTATTCCGGCGCTGGGCTGGGGCGCCCCGGCTGTTCTGGCTGCACCCCGTGCTGTGCAGAACCCGGGCTGGGAACGGGCTCAGGCACAGGGTATGCGCCGTGGGGCTTGGCCCTCCGGCCAGAGGTGGGCTTGGGGAACACCCCCTCTGCACAAGCGGAGTAGGGAAGGAATTGGGCCACCCAGGAAGCAGGCAGGATCACAGAGCTGGGTTTGGGATACGGAGCTGGATGCCGAGGAAACCAGCGTGACTTTGAAAGAACGCGGAGCAGAAAAAACTGATTTCGGTCATTCTAGAGGCCCGAAGTACAGGGTAACTTTTTAGGAGTCTGGCCAATTTCGGGATCCTTTCCATCTTGCCTCGGTGAGCAAGAGGGATGAAAATCCAGAACTAGCTGGGGGTCGCGCAGAAGGTTTTCCTGCTTTGCCCCCCCGCCCCACCAGACCCCCAGTGCCACGAACTGGGGAGCAGGTGGACATCCAGCAGGGAAAGTGCCCGCCATCACATCTCGGGAAAGCACTGTCTGTTGGGTCTTGGCCTGCCGTGCAGGCGTCTCGGGGCACAGCGACAGCAGGGCTGATGGCTTCGTTTTGCAGGCGGCTCCCGGGAGGGGAGGGCGGAGGCAGAGCAGCGGATCCGGCCGGCCTCGCCTGCTCCGGGTCCTGGAGGCCGGAGGGCGTGCGTGGCGTGCGAGGCGCTGACCCTCTGCCCTTTCCCTTGCAGAAATATCGCTACCAAGATGAAGACAGTCCCCCGCTGGAGCACAGCCCTGCCCACCTCCCCAACCAGGTAAAGGCCCCCGAGCTGGTCCACGTGGCGGAGAAGAACCTATCCCAGATCGAGAGCATCCATGGCTACGTGTCTCACTCGCACATCTCCCCCATGAAGGTAGGAAGGGGGGGCGCGGGTGCCCCGGCCAGGAGAGGGGGCGCCACCCTGCCGCCGCGGCCATAGGCGCACCTGGCCCCGCCCCGCCCTGCCACGCCCACGGCCTCCGCACACCTGCACCCGCCCGCCCGCCCGCCGCCCCCGTGGTGGCACGTGTGTCCCCGCCGTTCGTGTGTCGGCGCGCGCGAGGCGCTCTGTGTGGTCGCGAGCGGCGGGCCCGGCGGCCTGGCCCGGCAGCGGTCTCTCCGGAGCGTGCCCCCCCCCCCCGCCGGTCCGGGCACCTTCCTCCGCGCACGTCGGGCCGTGCGTCACACGCGTGCTCTGTGGATGGCGGGTCTGTGTGTCCGTCCGTCCGTCCGTCCGGCGTGGCGCTCGCGGGGACTTGGCGGTGCGGTTTCCTGGCCGCAAGCACATCTGTGTGCCGCTTGTGCGTCTGTGGCTCCTCCGGCGTGTCCGTGTGCACATGTGCTTGGCTTTATCCCCCGGCCCGCCGGGATTTCCTGCGGTTTGGTGTTTCTTGGGAGCAGCGGCCGACCTCGGCCGTGCGGCACGTTGGCCTTCTCTCCCTGCCGTGCCTTTCTAAAATGTGTATAAGCGGCAGCCGGTTTTAGGGGTCTGCCTGTCGTGGGTGCTGCAAGGGTGCCTCTGTGCATAAAAGGCCGCTGAAGTTCTGCCCCCTGAATAAGAGAAAGGCTGTTTAGTTACTCGTTGGTCACATCTTTCGACTGCCCAAGAGCCGAAAGCGCTCCGTGTGGCTCACAACAGTGTGAAACCCTTGGAAGCATAGAAACAGAGCGAGTCAGGAGGGGCCTCCCAGGCCATCTAGTCTGACCCCCGGCTCCAGCCGGCTCCACTCATGTAAGCCCCAGCATGTGGGTGTCCCGTCTTTCCTTGAGCGCCCTCACCAATGGGGCCTCCACCACCTCCCGTGGAGGCCCGTTCCATATCCTAGGGATCCTAACCACCATGAGGTTCTTCCTGGCATCCAACCTGAAACCCAGTTCCTTGAACTTTGCCCCATTGGAGCACATCCTGCCCTCCACTGTGGGGAAGAACAGGTCACGGCCCTCTGTGTTGAGATGCCCCTTCACATCCCAATAGGTCCGCTTGGAGGAGACTCTGAGTCCCAGTTCCCTCCATCGCTCCTCACAGAACATCCCTCCCAACCCGGCTACCGTTCCTGGGACCCAGCACGGCACCGGTTCTGACCCAGCTGTGTCTCTCCCGTCATGTGGCACCCGGACCGGGACGCAGGACTCCAGCTGTGGACACAGCAGAGTTGTGTAGCGCGGTTTCAACACCTCCCTAGGTCTGGAAGCCACGCTTCCGGCTGTACATCCACCCCAATTAAAAACCTAAGTGACTGTCAAAATGGCAGTATAACATTTGAATTGGTTGAAACTATAGTATAACTGTAGATTTATATCCAGCGGGCGACTGAGCAGTGATGCGGTTTTAAAACACGATACAGAATTTAAGAGAGACTGAAAGTAAAATTCCTTTTTTTTTTTTTTTTGGTAATAAGTTTTTTATTAAAATTTTAAACTAACACTAAAAACATCATCAAATACATCAGATGTACTGGGTCAGCCCCCCTCTCATATTTTTTAACATTTCATAGTCATATTTAAGTCCATTTATGATAGCTTAAAAACATATTTAAATCTAAACCAGGTTCCGTTTCTCTAGCCAATGAAAGTGAAATTCCTGAGGGAATGAGATCTTCAGTTGGCACTCAAAGAGTATATGAGTACCAGCTGAGCTTCGCTGGGACGTCCCTTCCACCGTCCGTGGCCGGAGGGCCACAACCACAGAGCCCCTTCCTGGTGGCCCCCCTCCTGCCTTCCCTTGGCGGCTCCCGCAGGACGGCTGGCCCAGGCTTAGTGTCTGACAGATATATATGGGGCAGACCATCCTTCCAGCCCCCCGGGGCCCAGTGCTGGACTGTTCATGCCAGCAGTGTGGGTCTGGCCCAGCGCCAACGGGCAGCCGGCGCGATGGCGAAGCGCAGTCCCCGAAAGCGCGCTGGCAACCTCGCTGCCCTCTTTGGGGCCAGCGGACGTTTCTGGACCAAGGCAGCCCTGTGAATAGTGTGTCGCCAGGACACAGCCGAGAGGGCGTCTGGGCGGGTAGCTAGCCGGGCTGCCCCCAAGGACGGAGTCGGCGTGTGGTGCGGAGCGGATGAAAGGTGCTCCGTGCCCAGAATCCCCCAGCACTTCCAGGGACGGTGCCGGATCCAGCGGCTCCCAGGGTAGGAAGCCGTTCCTGCCTCCAGGGCAGGCTGAGCACCCCCCGTCTGGGCAAGAGAGCTGTCTGCTCAGTGGTTCGGCCTCGCCTGGACTGAATCTCAGCTCCAGGGCCCCCCCCAGCCCAGGCCTGGGCCCCGGCACGAATCCGGAGCAGCCACTGCCTCTCCTGGACTGGAGGGAAAGCGGGGAGCACAATTGGGGTGTCGAAGACACGGCAGCCTGCGCCTCCCCGCAACCTGCAGATGCCCAAGAGCCGGGCACTAAAGCTGGGCCCTCTGGAGCCCCACGGCGGAGCTGCCAAGGCCAGGACAACAAGCCCCCTGTGCCACCCCCTGGAGTTGGCCGCCCCCATGGGGGGAGCTGCTACAGCGCAGTGCCCCCTGCTCCCCGCCCAGGCAGCCTCTGCAGAGGGTCCCGCACTGGATCGTGTCCAGAGCAAATGAGAGGCCAAGAGAGCTGGCAGGGCCCCCCCCACACACCTCCCCCCCAGACCCTCCGGCAGAGAGACCAAGGCGATTTCGCCCCCAGGCTGGGCCCACACCTGCCTGGAGGGGATCGGGAGGCGGCACGTCCCTCTGTGGCGCCAGGAACTGTGGGCGGGCGAGCGAGCGGGCGGGCGTGCATGTGCGAGCAGGAGACCTTGCACCACCTCCCAGCTGGCGGTGCCGTTCCCTGTTCGGTGTGCCGGGCGCGTTCTCGGGCTCGGCCATCTGTCTGCGGTGCTGTCGGCCCGCGAAACGGCAGCTGCAAGGCGGTGGGCGCTTCGGCGTGTGTGTCTGTTGCAGTGCGTTGTAATTGTCCTCTGGTGTGTTCGTTACAATTGCCGCGCCGGAAGGGTCCTGGAGATCGGCTGGGCACACGCTGCAGAAGTGTCTCCCCAAGTTTGGCCTGAATCTGCTCCCACGGGATCCGGATCCCCCTGCCCTGGCTCTAGCCCACTCCGGGGACAACGGCCAGGTGGCTGTCCCCGCGGCGTTCCTTTGGTTGCGTCGCTCGTCTCCTCCTCCTCAGGCTCAACAGAGGAGCCGCCTTCCAGACCCCCCTCACCTGCTTGCGGCTTTCGGGACACGCTCCCGTTGCCAAAGACTTTTCCAAATGGGGTGCCCGGAACTCCAAATCTGCTCCCACAAATGTGTGATATGGTCGAACGAGGACAAATTATTATGTATTATTTATTTGATTTTGAGCCCTCCCATAGCCAAAGCTCCTCGGGCAGTTTACAGCAATGCATACACCCAAAACAGTTTTATTTTATCCTAAAATAAAAGCAACATGAAAATGAATTTAAAATAGATAAAACATCAGCAAAAGTGACTCTGTAAGAGGAAAAATGAACATCCCTGGGTGACCCAGTAACTCTTTAAAGGGCTTGGCATCAAGAGCTGTCTCAGCCTGGCACTGAAAGGATAAGAAACACAGAAACTGAGCGAGCCAGAAGGGGTTCCTGGGCCATCTAGTCTGACCCCTGGCTCATGGCACGCCTCCCATGTGCGTGTCTAGCCTGGTGCTGGCGGGCAGCAGTGAGGAGAATGCTGCAGAGACCTCCCAAATCGGAGCATGAATGGCGTCTGAGGTTGCCGTCCCTTTTCATCAGCTCCCACGTGTGCCTGGCTCGACCTTGTCCTCCAGCCTGCCGAGCCCCGTGCTCTTTTCTGCACATCTCCTTGCCAAGATAGGTTTCCCCCACCCGGGGCTTGCCATTCCCCTGCCCCTCTTCGCCTCGCATTGCTGCCATCCGAGGGACAGCCCCCCCGTGCCCTCACACAAGTCATGATGCAGGTGCTGGACAGCACAGGGCCAAGCCGGAGCCCCCCGGCGCGGGGCTCAAGCCCCTTTCCCCAGGAGGTGCCGGGACCTTTCCCAGCACATGCCAAGCACGGTGCCTCAAGCGCGTCGTCGGCAGGTGTGGTGGTTCCACCCAGTTTGTGCATCCCCCGAACTTTCTGCTTTGCTCTGTTACGTCCAGAGGACGGTGGTCTTGCAGAAATTATTCCTGCAAAATGCGCTGTATAACCAACACAGTGTTTTCCTGCTGCTCGGGCTGAGCACTGAATCATCCGTGGAGGAATTTTGCTTGAGGTGGGCAGCCGCTGCCCAGATCTTTCTGTCTGCCCTTGTTTCAACCTTCGGCCCCCTCACCTCTCTGCAGGAGTTCTCAGAGTCCACCTGCGAGGCGGTGCTGCCCCTGCCGCCCCACGCCGATGGCCTGCAGCGCCTACCTGGAAAGGGGAAGAATTTGCCTCCTTGCGGGTGCAGCGGGTGCCCTTTTGGACAGAGAAGCGACCCGCCGTCCCCACGCGGCCCGGCAGCTGCAGGGCTTCCTCCACTTAACTGCCTGGGCAGGGAAGGCTTGGCTGCCCCTCGAATGTTGTCACGTCCACCCCTTGGAGTCCCCCTGCCCACCCCGGATGGCCCCCGATTTCAGATTCGAGGCCCCCAGAATCTGGGTGGGGGGCACATTTCAGCCAGTCCTCCCCGGGGCCGGGGCACGCGACACGGTGGCTCTCCTCAGCCAGAACGCCAGTGCCTCGTGCGCCAGCGTCTGTGCGTACGCAGTTGTGGCTCTGTCTGCCGTTGTGTGCGTTGTGTCTGCGCATGGCTTTGTGTGTTCAGCACCCCCGTCCCCGACACCCACCACACACGAGCGCCGCAGAACCACACGACGCACGTGGCCTCCGCTCCACCCTGCCAAGAGGTATTTATCGTTGTGAGAGGTGGGGGGTGGCTGCAGAGGCGTGCCTGGGGCTGTAT